TATGGTCGTTGGTATAAAAGCTTTAACACGTTATAAAAAATGTTTTGTTAGGAAGTTTTTTCTTTTTTTTTTTAATAAATGTCATAGACAAGTTTAGGTACAAACTTTACAAACTTATTTTTAAATTAGTAATACTATATTTATAATATCACATAAAATTGTAAATTTACAATTCTATATAACATTTAATGAAATATAATGTAAAATTAAATGAGTGAATATATATATTATCATGGATAGACTTTTAAATAAAAATAATTAATTATATAATAACATATCATATTAAAAATTTACAATGCTGCATGACATTTTAAGTACAATATTTTTGTTTTCAAATTGAGTTTTAAATAATAAGATATACAATGGAAATAAAAATATGTGTAATAGAGATAACGTTCATAGAATTCAAAAAAATTATTTACTGTTTATTTTAAAGTTTAAATTTAGAGTTTTTAATTTAGAGTTTTAAGTTTTGATTATTCAAAATCATTTGAAATATCCTTATGTTATTATTTCTTCAATTTTAGTTATACAGATAAAAATATTTTATTTATAAAGAGGTATCTGTAACCTTAAGGCCTTATAGATTGAAAAAAAAAAAAAAAAAGGTGAAACCTCATAACTTAAAAGTTATGAATTAAACTTTTGCACACAATAAATCTTTTTTTAGAATTTTTTTTTAAAATTTATATTATATTTAAGCTGAAATTTTCGTACCATATACAATTTGTGTACTATATTCGTAATTTACTTTCTCTCAAGAAGAAAGATATAAGCATAATGAAATTTGTAAATTAATTTAAAAATAATGATATTTTAGTTATTCTTCATGCAAAACCATTTCATAAACTCCCAGACTTACGCCATTTCAGCATGTAAGCCCCGATCCTAACTCAAAAAATAAGCAAATAAGTCCCAAAAGCATACAATTATAGCAAATTAAACCATTGTTAACAAATACTGATAATTTCCATTAAATTCAACTTATGTGACAATTTAAAGAAATGCTTGATGTTAATGCATCAATGTGGTAGTTAAATAAAATTAGCAATTAAATAGATTTATTCATTTTCTTTTAATTGTCAAATCTATACACATTAATGAAGGACTAACTTGCTTTATTGCATGG